GAACATAAGGACGTCTGAAATAAAGCTTATTTTAGTGACTAAAAAATGACCACCCTCGGCGGTCTATTGGACGTCCATATATATCTGACTAATAGACGTCCAAGTATTGACGTCTTTCAGACGTCTTTTCTAAGTTAATTGACGTACTGACCAAAAATGACTTAATATGGACGTCTGGCAGACGTCTAATTGGTCAGTTGTGCTACCTGGGGGGGTTAATGAATGATTTTAATTGATAGGCTTCACTTACTTTTGATTAATACAAATGCGGATAAACAAAACTATAAAGGAACAAACAATTCTTTTGTTTATTTTTTCTTCTTTTATTTCTTTTAAAATCGTTAAAAGATAATTTTAGGAACAACTACATTAGTTGGAGAATATTTTGAGGTATCCTCAGTATATTCATCAGTGTTCAGTTCATATCAATCTATTCCTCAGTTTATTACGAACATTTTAGTATAACGCAGAATTTTTTGTTCCAAGCCGTTGGAAGGTTAAGTCGTTTTGAAGCAATTTTTAGCTGTTTCCCATAGACTTCCCAGACAGCATTATTAAATCCATTGGACGTCCATAGGGCAACGCATTTCGGGCAGCCGCATGTCCATAATTTGTCCGATTGCTGTCCAATTGACGTCCATTTTCCTTTACAAATGTCACAGAATGCTACCTCCGCCGGATGTCCAACGATAAGGCATCTAACGGACACGGCATATATTGTATTTAAAATAATAATTTTGAATTTCGAAATCTTCTGGATGCCCTGATGACATCCAGAAACCTTGATATCTATTGATTAATAAAACAAAAAATCTAGTGCATTTATTCAGCTTATATGAAAAATATTTAAATTATAAACATATTAGTATATATACCGGGTCGCATTTTCGGAATCTTTGTATGAGTAATTTCTAAATTTTTAAAGATTGAGAATCCGTTAAATGGGCAAAATTGAGCAAAATTCGATTCATTACCGTTTTTAAAATTTAGGTACCCGACTTGGTCGAATTCTGCCCAATTTTGCACATTTAACGGATTCTCTATCTTTAAAAATGTAGAAATTCCCCATACAAAGATTCAGAAAATGGCCACCCTGTACATAATTTTATTGAAAACATATGAATATAAGAATATGCATATAGGGACATGGGATATATTAAAAACCTAAATAACTAAAAGTAAACAAAAGATAAACTACTAAACTAATAATAAAGTAACCAAAAAAATCAGACTAAAACTAAACTAAACATTAAGAACTTAAACAAGAATACCTTTAAATTTATTATAAATATTACCTAAATAAAACAAAATAACTTAAATACAAAATAATTTTATGTACGGAAAACCAGAAACAAAAACAACAAAAAATATTTTAGGTGCTCATCCGCTCGCCTCAACCAATTCTGAACTTTTTTTCCCGTCATTTTCGTCGTGACCTCAGAATTTTGACGAACTGCTATAGCTAAAAACGTAATAGATCTTAGTATCAACAGAAATATTGCAATTTGCATAATTGAGCAATATTAGAAGATTTAAATAAAGGCTTCAGAAAATCTATTGCAACTACACTCTACAGTTACAAAATGACTGAATAAATAATCAACTTACCGTTCAATAAGTCCTAAAACATATTGGAGGAGAGCAGATTTTGTTTGGGATCCAAACAGCCAAACTGTTTGTTATTAAATTAGTTAAGCAGCGCGTAACAAACTCATATGGCGTACTTCCGCCAATTTTTACTAGGGAGGTTACCTAAAAAAGTATACATTTTAATTCAGTTTCATTACAAAATATTTCCCCCACAGCACTATAACATTAAATCAGTAAGATTGACTTTCTGTAAATGGCCGGGAGTCTCAACATCGCGTTCAGAAAATTTGTTTAAAATATAATTACTTGTCGAAGGAGGATTAACATGTATGTTTGCTTCAATACTTCTGTATTTGTTGAGTTTGATTTAGGTGATGAAATTTCTGCATTTAACAAATTATCTGGGTTACAGCTTACAATAGATTTAATGATTGCTGCGTGTCTGCTGCACGTGTATAGTTTTACTTTAGGCATGTTTGTTGTAGAATAGTTCTAAATTAAGTAAAAGTGGCGCTGAAAGCAAAAGGCTGGACATTCGGCACTCTTTTGGACAAGTTTTGGATGTCCATTGGATTTCTAATGCTGTCTGGGTTACATGTAAATTGAAACTCAAAAACTAAAATTGTTGCGAAGTTCAATTTTGTCAGGAAGTTACTCTCCAATAAACTAAGAAACCTACAGAATTTCAGCCTTGTGGCTCGGTGCTATCATGGTTAAGTTTGGAGTTTTTATGGGCAGACAAACAGATACATTCATTTTTATATATACATTACATAACTATATCTTGTTGCATTTCTGAGCTTCGTAAAAACGAGTAAAAAATATGCGTAAGAATTTGTCTGTAAATGTAGGATTACAGTAATTTTTTTTATGAAACATGAATAGTTAGAATTTAGTGTCAAAATTTTGTATATTATTGTTAGACACAGCCTTCAGCATTGATTATTGTTTTCCTGCAAGTTTTACAGTGGTAGTAAGATTTTTGAAACAATCATTGACTATATCATATTGTATGTAACTATTTTACTACATTTAATGAACTTTTCTTTGTTTTAGATTCTTTGAATACCTGGAGGACTGACAAGAAACGAGGTGTCTGGTTCAAAGTTCATTTAGATCAGTGTGAATGGGTTCCTATTTTGATCAAGGTAAAATATAACTGAAGGTTCAATTTACTCCAGCTATTCTTACTTTTAACGGTCTCAGAATGGGTTCAAATACCATCATGCCAAAGAAGACTATGTAATGCTTTACATTTGGTTACCGACGAATGAATCCGACAATGTCCCGAATTATGCGCATACGCTGGTTGGTGTTGGAGCTGTTGTAGTTAATGATGCCGATCAAGTTTTGGTCGTTAAGGAGAAATATTTTTATAAAGTTCCTATGTGGAAATTGCCTGGAGGATACGTCGAACCAGGTAAGTACCATTAAAAAATTATCAGTTATCTATGGAAATTGAGAATTTTCACGCGAGGAACCTGTTGTACTTTAACAGGGTAGTTTTAGCTATTAATTTCATGTCAAATATCGATAGTATAGATGAAATATTGGCAATACATACATTCATCAGTTTTGAAAATTAGTTATTATCGATAAGAATCAGCAAACTTAGTACACGCACACGTTTTAATACGAATGCTTTTGGTATATAGCTACCTACAATTATTGAATACTCAAAGCACGTTTATGGATCGGAATCCGCTTTATTATCCCTAAAAAAGACTTTTTTTTACTTGATTGTTTTTCAACCAAATTTCTGTTACTTAAAATTTGTTTCTTTAAAATGGACTTTATTAATTAATTGTCCGAAACCTTTTCTTACTATGGAGTCCTTACATAGCAGGAAATGATTAGTAAATTTTTTTGTCTCAGGCGAAAATTTAGTAGATGCAGCAATTCGCGAGGTATTAGAAGAAACTAACATCCAAACTGAATTTGAGTCTGTGTTAACATTCAGACAAGGACAAAGCGGCATGTTTGGATGTTCCGATCTCTATTTTGTTGTTAATTTAAAGGCGTTAAGCCAGGACATACAAAAATGCACTAGAGAAATTGCAGATTGCCAGTGGATGGATATTAAAGAGTATCTAAATCATCCGCAAGTGCACGAATTAAACAGGTATTGAAACATACTGCTACATAAAGTTAACAAAACATATTCAAGTTATGATATAGGCGAAATGCAATAGTATAGTAATTTTTTATCACTTTTGAAGTGCGGATTTTGAGTCAGATATTTTGAAAACCGCTTGTGTTTTAGGTTTTTTGTCAGCAAACTTATGCACCATCGTAAACATAATTTAAAAATCGACTGCCATCATGGTCTCCACCAACTGCTCCAAAAACCATTCACGGTTTATTCGGTATTTAAAACTGATGATGTGGACGATTCCGACAAAATACCGTTCACTTTTATATCCGGGGCTAGTAGTAAGTCTAGTTGATCGTTTAGTTGAATAGGTGGACAGTTTTAGTTCAATACAGGACATGTGTAATTATATTTTATCAATCTGACTGAGGAAGAATGTACAGAGTTGTCGTTAATGCTTAAATAAAATATTTTTATTACTATTGAAAAAGTTTTTGATACTATTGAATAACCTAGACCGACCACAACACGTTTTCGGCAATATCGAGATGAACTAGTAAAGTTTTAAATAATTGTGACTTCACTATTATCAAACCGTTTCTGTCGTAACCATTAGTTAAAACTAAAAAATGTTAGTGACTACGAACATTTTTTTAAATGTTACTCAGTTAGTGCTGCATTTGCAAACACATCTGGCAGCATTAGTGTTAAAAGTTGTTTTTTGCGTTCGTTAGGTTATTACCTTTTTCGTTGAGGATCAGATGTCGAATCTAATCTTACTTTTCAGCTGTTGTTTTTGCAGTCATTTTGGTGGCGGAACACTATAGTTTTGCTCTACACGGAAAATATTACTCTGTAGTTAAAACCATTTTTTCGAGCTATAGATTAACAAATATTCATCTATCTCTGGGTTTCACAATTAGAGGCAATATTTTCAATGTTTTCATCTGATAAAATTGTCAAATATTTTTTGTTATTTTTCAAATTGTAGTATAATTGTACGTTGTTCATCATTTTGTTTAATTTTTAATATTCTTTTCACTGAGGAACTATTACTTTAATAGTGTTACCAAATGGATACAATCCATCACTATTCTTTGAATTAAGGCGAGTCGCGATCATTAAGATTAATATATGTATTAGGAAAATATCTAAAACGTTCAGCGTATTGGGAAAATTATTGTTTACAAAAACTTGCAGATACTGATTACTTGTTTGGAGATATAAATTTATGTATGTGTGAACCTTTGAACCTTGTTTAAGTCCTATTGGGACTTTCAACGTTCGTCCATTTTTATATTATTTCATTATGTGATTCTTCCATTGTCCGTCAACTACGGTAGTATTGTCGCATGCTAAGAGTATCTATTAGAATTAATAAAACAGCCAAATCATTTTGCTACTAACAAGTTGACGTATATTTTTTATGTAATCATACACATCAATTTTTAAGTTATTTTCTCATTAATATATTTACGCATCTCTTTTCATAGGATTACCATAATGCATATAGTTACAACTGTCTTAGAATATTTAAATATAAGAATACAATGCTTAAAACTTTAATAGACACGTCATAAAATATATATAATATACTTTATATGATTAATAAACTAAAAAACTTGTCAAAGTTTTTTCTACTATCACATTTTTGTTTGGAACTCTCCAAGATTCTAGCTATTACCTAACACACCAAAATATACGAAATCTAAAAACTCTCAATGGATAAGGAGAAAATTAAAACTTGTTTGCTGACTATTAGCATATAATCAGACTATGACGGTTTGCACGGCCGGCCAAAATATCGGTTGAAAAGGTTTTAGGGCTTATAAGCCGTGCTCCATTGGAATTACTTTCCGACTTTTAGTTCACATCTGTGGTGAACATTATCGAACTAATCGTAACAATTTTTAGGATAGTTTCGACAGTTCTTTCTGTAACAATTCCAATGGTTGGCAGCTTGTAATCCCGGAGAAAAACTTCAACTGATATTAATTAGCACATAGTTTAGTTTATGCACAGCTACTTTGGCATATTTTGGCATGTTTTCCAACTAATCATAAATTAACTTGAGCTTTAGAACTGAGTATTCCTGCAATACCCTTCGACTGATTAACTTTCAGGTAACTTCACAATATATGCTTCGTAGGCTACATTTTGACTAATAATTACAATATTGATTTAATTAAAATTAGAAATACCTCATACAAAACCCCATTATATACAAGAATTTGGGTTTGTCGGAACGGTACTTTTTTTGATAATCTCGTTGATTAACTGCGCTGTTCTATAATTAGATTTCTAAGAGACGAAAGGACAAACAGATTTTACATATAAAAATAAATATGTTAATATTTTTCTAAGAAATTTACTAGGAAGTATTGGTCACTAGGCATAATGATTTAGATCAGTATGAATCTAAGCAAATCATATACTTTCCCATGCCTATAACAAAGCCTACAGATAAAATATATATGTAGAATAATTTTTTATTTACATGGAATTGATATATTGTATTTAAATGACTTAGTTAGTTACCATATTGAAAACGCAATATAATTTAAATTATCGACAAGGCGTGCTTGTAACGCAATTTAAAATATATTCATAAAAATATACTTCATCTACGTCTACTATTCTTCTGCATCTATTTCAGACTTCATTTTTTCCAGTTTTGGCAAGGAAATATGGTGATTTGTAATTTGCACCACACGGTTGAAAAGTGGCGTAATAATTTGGTACAAAATATTCGTCAATAGATATTGTCTGATAGGTACCTTGATATTAGGTGCTTGATTTTTTTTCCTGTTTTAACTAGTGATAATTTATGAGTGTACTCTTACAGCGATATGACGTCGACTGGTCCATACGAAATTCACATAATCTTACTTCGACCTAAAGGCGATTATCATTCGTATAATAAAGCGAATAGGGCTATTAAACAGATTATAGGTAGATTATAAATGGTTTATGTGTCTAATTGTAAAAGTATTCCCGCTATAGGGCAAGTTTCCAATTGACTCTGTTCAAACGAGAGAAGCGAGTTTAAGCAAAATATATTTTTTTTATTATTCGGACGTTGTTTTATAACAAACAGCTTTAATCACGTGTTTTTTTGCTTTGTGGCTCTTGAATCTTTAGGTTTTATTTGTTTCTGCCGCTGTTTTTTAACATTTGTACTTACGTGTCTGAATAAGCCTTAACACTAACAAATCGATCGATGTCACGCTTATTAATATTTTGATTGTTTAAAAAATGTAAATTCTAGACCATTGCGGAATAATCACTTGTGTCAAGTAGTAATTGATTAATCATTATACTCGTTTCTTTAAATATTTGTCTTGTGCTAAGTACTGTACTGTAGAAGCGATTAACGTCTTAAAATAATGATTCGGTAATTTTCGAAAATCGCAAAGCTTTTATAGACGACCAATGTTACACAACACAAATACCCTGTTTAATTACAACTCATTTCGGGTTAGATATTCAAATATACATATATGGTATTTAAAATATACAATTAGGCTCTTCAGATTTTGACAAGTAGCGATTTTATGTAAATATAATTTGACTTAATTAACTAATAACTATAGTCTACCGTAAATGGAATGGTCTTTTTCACAACAAAGTTTAAGTATACAACCTGGAATGTCTTGTTTCGAATACCGCACTTTCAAATCCAGTTAACAACCTCAATAATCCTACAGTTCGTCAGTTCATCATTTGTCTTATAAACGGAAAGTGTCTGAAATGTAGAACGTTATACTTATTTAACGATTGTTAACTGAATGTATATTCAATTGACATCAATCACTTACTGTTCAATTCGAAAGAGGCTCACAAACTATATCTAGTCAACAGTTATGTCTCACGTGTGAAACGCAAAACATTATTTTCTAGTGTTTACAAGGCATTTATTGCAAAACCAATAAATGCATGTATTCCGTTACTTGTGATCCTCTTTCAAATGTGAAATTCGAAAATGTTGCAACTACATAGCAGTTTTAGCGAATTTGCTGCCAATAGTTAGCAGCTAACAATAATTATCGATATTATTTACTAATTAGTTGACCATTGCATCCTCCGGGAACGTTTCTAAGTTCTCTTGAAACATACTATTATTATTGGCTTCTTCTGGGGTTTCTACTTCGATATTGCTGTCACTCTCAGCATCCTGGAATCTGGAATAGAAGTTACTTTTTATTAAGTGTTTGTTAATCATAAAAACTTCTTTTTGCTAAACTACTGTTCAAAAACTGTTGCAACTTTTGGTCGCGAAAGCATAAATCTCTTGATAAAGGACTTTACCAATACAAGTTTTGATACAAGTTGTTAAAAAATCTACAGATTGGCCCCGAATAACTTGACAATCTCTTGGATTTGAATAGAATGGAACCACTGTCTCCTCTTATGGAGATAGGTACTACAGCCCTTTAAACTCGTTTTTGTTAAATAACTTTTAAAATAATCTGGATCGATGAACGGGATAATTTTTATATTATCAACAGTGGGCCAGTTTGCATTAAATGGATACATTAAAACAATTTTCTCCTATTTAGTTTGCTGGGTCCGGACTAGTTTCTGCGACTCATCACATCTTGTAGCAGGGACACAAAAACATGATTTGTGCTCTTGTTTTGCCCTTTGTCAATACCGTTTTTGAGAAGATGCTATTCAAGTTGGTAAATTTAATATTTTTACGTTTAATAATAACTTATTATACAAATTAAATAGTGTTGCGTCCTCCATAAGGACTCCATTAATCCTTGAATCAGATGAAAATATGTCAAAAATATATCAATTATTTAAAAAGTTATTTGTAAAAAAACGATTTTAACGGGCGATATCTCAAATTATTAAAGTCTTAAAGTATCAAAATACTTTGAGTATTAAATTGTTAGTAAACAACGAAAATAGTTAATTATTAACTATTTAATTTACAACCCTGTATAAAACACTAACGCTGAATGAATAACTAATAAATGAGACTGTACTGCAAACAAACACCTTTCATCCAACCTTCAGAGCGATACCAAGAAAACGGTTTTTAAAGAAACGTGTTCTGTGTACTACGTGTTGGACTTGGACGAAATGCTTTCAAATAATGTGTGTCGAAAATTTATCAGTACTTTTTCACTACGAATCCCTTTCTAATTCAATATTATAAGCATTACATATGCTAATTAACCATAATTTGCAACGGCACAGAGGTTTGAAATGACAGACAAGACCTCTTTGAGGTGAGGCACGACTTTTTGCACAAAACAGGTTTTCGGAGAAATTGTTTAAGTTTTTTGATTGTGATTATTAATAAGAATTCAGTTTTTTAGCTAGAAAAAGCAGCTCAGTTTTTATCAAATTACCTTATTTCTAAATATTGTTGAGTAATAGCTTTTATTCTATCTTAATGACTAATTGTGTTTGTTATTACAATTTATTATTAATTGTGTCATTACACAATTTAATTTTTTTTGCTGTAATCCATAAAACCCACATATTATTGATGGTCTATATTATTGATTAATACTTCAATAAAAAAATTTAAAAAATTGTCAAATGACCCTCGAACATTTTATAAGCTAATAAGCTATAAGATTCTTGGCCAATTCTTCCTACGTTTTACAACGTATTATTAAAATAATAATTTTTGTCTATTGCTTATACGTGTAATGGTCGAATTTACGTTGTGTTGTCTCCCTGTTTAAATATAATTACAAAAATGTATCACAATTTCTCGTCTATATACTATTAATACGCAAAAACTACTCTATAAGTGAAGTTATGAAAACGTGTTTTTTGTATCCTTGTCGAAAGCTTATTCCTTTCCTTATCGGTCATATTAGTCTTAATCAACTGCACAGTAGTTTCACCCTTTGACCAGGCCAATAAAGGCCAATAATTGGAATTATTTTATAGGGCAATAGTAGTAATTAATCCTTTTATGAGCTATAAATGGACCCTTGGGTGTTGATAAATGAATGGCATTAAGCACATTATCACTCTTTTATCTATAACCAAGCAATATTAGTATTATTAAGTCAAGTCAAATATTTGTTTTGTGCTTTTTCATTGATGCCTTGAGATTATTGCGTTCATTTTATAATAATATTTCATTGGTGTATGAGACAAATTCGTTACATTAGAATATTACATTAATTGCTTGGTTTTTTTAACATCATTTTTTTCCAGTTCAATCTGATTAATATTCGACATGTTTAATTGCATATTTTTAGTAGTGTAGAATATGTAATTTGCAATTAACTAAAAGCCACCCTTAAGAAGTTAGCCAATATTTTTTCGCACCCACACGCCATCTAAGTATAAGAAAACATCAAGAAAAATAGTCAGAAGTACTTACGTGTAGTGTTTCTCTTCTCCCCTCATCTCACATATGACGTTCGTGAGGGCCATAATGTAATTTTTTGCTAATGTTAAGGTTTCTATTTTTGAGAGCTTTCTTTCCATTTTTATGTGTGGTATTACTTCTCTAAGTTGCTGAAATAGAAAGTATAGATTAATCGACTATTCTGGCTAGCAATAAACTAAAATTAGCAAAATGTTTAATATAAGAAGCAATAGTGATAATCTTAAGACCCTTAGCAGATTTGGGTTTTTATAAAATACGTTCATTATCATCACACATAAACCATTATTAATGTTTCAGTTGAGTGAATTTAATTAAATACGGTATGCAGATAAGTTTTTTTCGAAACAAGAAGCTTCACAAAACGATTTAATTGGGTTAATTTTTGTTGTTTTTGCTTAAATGCCATTGAAACAATGTGAAAGTTCGATGTCATCTTATCTGGTGCAATTGCATAAAAAAAACCTTCTTGTAACTGACATTCTACGTTGTATCCACATGATTATTTATTGTATCTACTGTTATTATTTTGAAACATTCATGAAAATAGATTAATCAAGGGAAGATTGTACTAAAATAATTCAGTGAGAAAAATATAAGTAAATCATTTTTGCATGTAAAGTAAGTTACAGGGTGATTACATGGACGATCTTTCTCAAAATTTAAAACGTACCTACAACTTCGATATTTTAAATGAAACACCTTACATATTGATGAACGTTTAGCAGGCCATTATCTGATTATTTTTCCTTAACGATTGCTATGCCGAATACTAATATTCGTAATTTTTATCAAAGCATAGCTTTTGCTAGGAAGTCTTGTTAATACAATTCGATACATGGGTGTTTAAAATTTGGCGTCTGGGTTTGGAAAACTCTGTGCTTGAGACTCACATAAAGAAGTGTGTTGAAAGGATATCCCTTAAGTTGAAAAGGATATCTTGAAATTAGTGATCTTCCGGATTATTTAGCCGTTTTCGTATTTATAAAAGTGACTTTAATTGCGCTTCGTCAAAATATCGTCCATGTTCGAGCACACTATTAAGTTCCCTTTTCCCATAAAATGATATATAATTTTTATGGAAACAGCTGCATTCAATGGGAAATTTAAATGTCTCCCCGACCATGGGCATCACTCATTTCAAGACGATATTCTTTAACCTCCACAATTTAGAACAAATTTTTCTTTGTGAGGCTCAGGGACAGGTGTTGGCTAGCGCTAACTGAAAATTTGAATATGCCATGGGTTGAAATGGTGCTGCAAATCGAGACTTCACATTTTGATGAAAAAAAAAATTTAACATTTCAGAAACCCCTTTATGCATGGGAATTGTGGAGCTAATAATATCAAATTTATAAGGCCAATCTCTGAGTGTAAGAATAGGTATTTCAAAATAATACGTGTGAACTTGTTAGCACTCGTGCATCGTGTTCTCCGCAAACGTCTAATACGCCATCCACCGTAAATCACCTCGTATATTACTAACAATTTATATTTCTTCAGCAAATGCGATAAATTTTTTTTAATCCGCTGTTGTACGTATGTGCAACAGAGAACGTGTCCGCAATATTTCATTTAATTGTTTTTAATGAAAAAAGAAAACAGATCACATATTAATGTTTGATAATCATTTTTTTTATATTGTTTTGAAACCAAAATAACACAACATTACATCATGCAAGCTGGTTTCCGGCTTTTGCTTAAGGTCATCCCGCATTATGATGGATATTATGGTACTATGGCATCGAAATTTTACATTATACGTAATAAGGAAATTACATTGTAGGTTTTAAGAGATTTTCACTCACGTGCATGTATCTCAACAGCAATTTTAAAAATACATTGCTGTACCGTGATGTTACCCAGTACAATATACAATATTTTAACTAATTCGAAAAAAATACATGTTTTAAAAGTAGTTTTTGTTAATGTATAATTGCGGAAATGCCATTAGCCATAGTTATGATAGAAAATACGTGTTATTGTACACTTGATCAACATTCGATCCGGGCGGATGTTTCTATTCAGGCTGGGTACTACAATTTTATAATCATTAATTTCGCAGCATTAAGTTTTTCTCTTTTTTTATTGAGGAAATATGCATTTTACATTGTACGGATAAACTCCATAGGTAATATGTAAAAATGTCATTTTATTTCATAATATGTATTATAGTTAATCTTATCACATTCAGCTGCTAGGAAACAACAAATAAACATATCTTTTATAAATTTTATCGAAGCGTTACAAAGGTTTTATTAGTTTTATTAGTTGAAAAGGGGTATTTATGTATAATAAATTAAGGTAAAATTTAAGTAATCTGATATCAAGCAATGAAGCAAATCTTCTTAACCCTTTATTGTTATTCTAGAGATATTTATTGAAATTGAATGAATTGAATTGAAATATGGAAAAATATAGTCAGAATAATTCCGAAAATTTGAAATTATTCTCTGCTCTGTATGGAAAGTAGGCGTCAAATCACTGAATTAAAATGGAACGCCGTGTATATACTACAAATTTAAGTCCTTCGAAAGATTCTGAACAGTTTTTTGTATATAATTTGATCCCTATCTAGAAGTTCAGTTCTAGAAATATGTACATAAAAATAATTATAGATGTAGCCTTAAATTTACTTAGTAAGCATGTTACAGATTCTACTTTGATACAGATCGATTCTAAACAATGTCAAATTTGCTATATAAAATCTTAGCAAAACTAACGTTTTTTTTTTGATTTACACTCGGAATTTTCTTCATTAAAGCGTGTTCAGCTTCAAAAATAAGTATAACTTTCAGGCTAAATTAAAAAAAAACTATTGTATTTCGAAGATGTAAATGGCAAATTTTACAAAAGTGGTACCGATGCTTGCATAAGCAAACTACGGATTTTTTATGATTCTTCAGCTTCTTATTGCATAATTTAGTTAATAATAGCAGTTTCGATTTTATTTTCACATGCGTATTACTTTTAATAGCATTAGATTTACCACTACAAACCAGAAAAAGTGTTTTATCTCAAAAGCCGTAAGAGATATCAGGAAAACTCGTGTCTATCGAACTGCTTGATTATATCCCTAATTTTGGCAATACCGTTATTTTTATTCATGATAAAAGTTAATTTGGACCGCACCTGTACAATAACAAGATTTCGGATAAATTTAGAATTCAAAAAGACGAGAATCTATGAACTACTTTTGCTACAACATTTTCACGAAAGGCTAGTAAACGGTGTAATAATTAAGAAAAAATTTCATTTTGCAATTTGTCACTTTGAAGACCCCATCCATAAGGAAGCCAGATAGGAATTTTTTTTATATGAAGTACTGACCTTGTTTTCAGGCCTTCTGTACGTCCGTACGTACGTGTATCATTGTTGACTAACAATTTCGGCACAGCCTGTATAGAAATCACACTTCATACATAAAAACTGTTCTTTTGAACAACCTACATTTATTGCCGTTCCACACAGGCTGTTCCAATTAAAATAAGCCACTTGATCTCTACTAACTTACGGTATTACTGGATGTGCAACTTAAAAAAATATATATTTCGAATGTATAGAGCCACTTTAGCGAGTGTTGCAATTTTCGGAATTATTGTAACTGTTTTTAGATATTTAGGGACACCCTGTAATCATTTTTATGGTCGAAATTATTCCTGACAAGTCACGATTAAGTTTTAATCTTTTTTAAATTTGTGTTCCAGTTTTAGTAACTTAGTTGTAAAATTCAATTAATTCCTCAACTGAAATTATTTTTTCTTAAAGAAACTTATTGGGTTGATGCGATTTCCCCGAAAACCTTTTGAAATTCGATCTACTAGACATGTCTATTCTGCTCTATTACATTCTAAATAATCTAAGATAGCCTATAATAACAATTTAGACAACAATAGACTATCAATAATAATTTAATTATTAAATTTTAGCAAAAGTTTGCCTAGGACTTCTAGGCAAGAAAATACGGAAAAGCGTGTTCATAAAATGCAGAAAATAATACCGAAATCTTTAGATTTAGTTAGACAGATCTAAGATTTAAACAATTTTTTACCAAAGCAATTCTCACGTGTTTATTACCCGGTATTGATTTTCCGATTTTTTAAAAACAGTGCAGTCTTAAAAATTAAGCATAAATTTATGTCTTCTAAATTTTCATCGTTCAATAAGTTGGATTGAAGAAAAGCAACTAATGTTTGATCAGAGTCCTGAGTTGAGTTGAAATTTCCCTATAACTTTTAAACCACTTTACCGAATGAACCCATCACTTTCTGCACAAATAAAAGATATTTCTGCACTATTGATTGAAAATGCTGTGGGCTTCCAACAATTACGATTCTATGTATTTTTTGCAAGTTTTTACCTCAAATGCATCGTTGAGCGAATGCATTCTCATTCTTTCTCTCTCGTTACTTTCCAGTCTTCGTAAGTTTCTCTCTCTGGCACTTATACATGTTTTCCGCCGTCTGTATGGCGCCGTTGTACTCGATGCACTTCCACTTGATACACTTCCTGCAAAAATAAATACAATCTAGTTTGTTTATGTTTTCCATTCAATTAACTTATTAGCTAATTCAAGCTTTTTTATTAGCAAGAAAGTAAAATAGGCTAAAGGATGTTTTCTGATAATTCTTTTCGGCGTCACACATAAGTATCCAGCTTGCTTTCCTTGTTAATTTTCACTAAATGTTAATCTAACTTCAACAATCATTTGCTTATTATCCTAAATTATATAACACTTTCAAGGTTTGGTATGTTAATCCAACTATTTCCTTTATTAAAGGTAAACAATTATAAAATTATTTGCTGCTAGCTTTTGAGAGTAGTAATTGTTTCTGATATCCACAACACAGCGCGTTTCGCCTTGATTTAATTACCATTTCTTTCAGAAAAATAGTTTTAGAACTAAACTTCAGATTAAATCCTGCAACGGAATGGGATCTTCGCTCAACTTAAAAATATGTTTGAGTAGTAAATCTTATACTATTTTCCACTTTTCAAAGTTCAAATTTTCGCGCAAAATTCTTATTATAATGATAATAATCGATGGGAAAAAAGGTCTGACGATATAATAGGAGGTTGCAACATGTACTCTCTCGCAACGAGTTTTCGATAATAAAATTGGCGTCTTATTAACTGGAAAATACATAAAACAGCATCAATTTCAGGTTTCGCCACTGCACTCAGTAATAAATCGAACAATACATACTTAATCAAGCGGTTAACGAAATTGCTCCAGCAAAGCACTAGAGGCTTGGATTTTCGCCCAATTAAGCTACTACTTTCAAACAGCGTTTGGCCGGAAGAAATCAGTCTGTTAATTACTATGTAAACTTTTTCTATGTTAAAGATTCCCACAGGTCGATTACTTCTTGTGAGTAACTTAACTGTCTAGAGTGAATGTACACTTTCAATGTGAGAAGGTCGTACATGCGAATCATTTTGATGAAATTTAATTATAACGGCAAAACGACTCGAACTCATGAATGGTAATCGTTCAGCAAATGTGTCTATCTTATACAATAGTTTTATTATTTTACATTATTTAATGTCAAGGATTCGAACGTTTGATTTTACGAATTAATTTGTGAAAATCTAAGAATAATTTAATCGTAGTTGTTGGCATTCATTATAATTTTTATCACAACCCATTATTTCCTTCCAATTCACTCATTAAATGTTCGTTTGGCTATCAATTAATTATACCTTAAGCGATGAGTTAGCCATCGGTTAATTACCCGTCTTTAACATTTCTAAATGGTGCTATTGGCTTGGTTTTTACTATTGCGCCAGTGCTGTGGGTTTTTTGGTATTATTAAAAGCCACATATTTTTCAATTTTTTGTGCATTAAAGCAAAAAAAACAATCGTAAACACTTTTGCAACTTATCTACTGCAAACAATATCTACAAGTATTATGGAAAGAGTAGGCTTTGCGGCTATTGCTTGAAACTGTTGAGTTTTTCGGGGTTTTAGGCCGTCGTGGAAAACATTATTTTTCTGGCGTTGAGCAAGTATGAGTGGCTTGCATCCTCATAGGTGCAATTACTTTAAACTGAGGTAAGTTTTCGAGTGAAGCATTCCTTAGTTATTTTGATAATTTTAGCGGAATGCTTTGTTACAGGAAAACGTTTATTTGCCAAAAATAACCATATATATGGTTTAAAAACAACAATCCAACAACAGAGTACAGTAACACAATAGTAAATAGTAAACCAACCACGATTTTGAAATGTTAAAGACCGGTAATTAACGACTGGCTCACTTATCGCTTGAGGTAACTCATTTTCAATATTCCTCGAAAAAAAATAGATTTATTCTCATTTGAGGAGGAAGCAATTTTCAGCAGATTTAATCGGATATGAAATTTTTTTTAATCATCATATTATTACCCTTATCCATATTCTCTAGGAATGAAAATTGAAAATATTTCAAGAGTGGAACTTCTAGCGCTTTAATATTACACAGGTTGAATGTTTCATCATACCTATGAAATTTGCGCTTCTGTTTACAAAGCCGCCGCGGATTACAATTGAGAATTGTCAAATTGGACATTAAATAATTGATTTCAAAAATGCGTTCTACTCTAGAGCGTTGCTTCTTTTTTTTCGTACGTAATCTTATCTGTTACACCAACTTGATTCAATAAAATAGAAAAGTATGCTTATTGGATGAGTAATAAACGCTTTCCGACCAATCTTACCAAATCATCGTAACGGCCGAGTTTGCAATTTAATTAACATTCCTGATAATTATCACGACAACAAATCATTATGTAACTGATTATAGTTCACTTAACCGAGCAACATTATTAGAACGGCCGTTTATTGCATAAGCATGAACTACCTGTTTCAAAGTAATTCTGTACATAGAAATTCATATCGGCCAAATAATTAAAATACTTTCATTTACTGAAACGGGTCTTTATTTGGAGTACCACATTAATATTCATTATTAGCTTGGTTTCCCCACAGATTTACATTCGTATGTTGTAAATTTGTTCTAGTTTATATTCAACTATTTAAATTAATTCCACACTAATTTTAGAAATTTTTTTAAACTCAACGGTTCAGTTGCATCAAAATGACTTGTGTTATATTTTGGTGTATGCACACTGTGAATCAGAAGTAATATTAAAACTGTTTAATAGTCAACTCAGTATACGCACGAAAAGCTATTAAATGATTTACGAGTTTTCCGTAGATGCCTCGATTCGCTTTTATTTCACATTAAACTTATCATTTCCACATTTCGATGTCATAAACCCGTCCGAGCTGATGTTTCTTTTCTGTTGCATTGCTTGGAATGAATCGATCAAGCAATTGCCCAACAGGTTTGTTCTACTTTCAGTTCTTCTGTTTAGGAAATTTGAATTCGTTGCTTTGCTGTTATGTTCGTGCTCATACTTGACATAATTTTATTTTCTATTCTTCACAAGCAGCTTATTTCACTTTTCATAGTTTGGGGCAATGTAAATAACAGTTTCTAACTGCAATCTTGAGTTTATGTACGCATTTTATCACGATCTTTGTGCTGTACAAAGAAATAAAAAGCAGATTGGAAGCTAGTTTTTAGCCAGTTATTTCTTGTTTTAAACGGTTGGTAAAATCATTATCTTCTAAAGTAGCTGGACTTAAACTCAAACACAAAAATCAAATTCATATTAAAACCGGTGATGAAAATGATCCATTAATTCTATGGCAAACTGAAACAATTCAAGCCTAATGCAATTCAAGCAAGTCAAAAATATTAAAGAATTATATGACTTTGAAGTGTGTTCAATGCGATTAAATTGTTTGAATCGGTTCAATTCTCAAATAGAATTAGTATTTACTAATCTCACTATGAGCTTTCTGTTAAGTATATTTTAGGATTAAAAGTAGATTCTTTCAGTTTTGTGGTATTTGTAAAGTTATCAGGCAGAAGATTTATTTAGATGAGTATTTGCAAATACAAAATTTTCCTTAGTATTACTAAAACTAATTTAAATAGAACATCAGTTCAAAGTACATATTTTTGCAATCGCTTGCACGTACTAGTTTAACGCGAGCTCGCTTTTTGGATGTTAAATTAACATCTTCATATTGTTCGCTTCATTTCTCTACTCATTCGATTTAATATAAAGCAAGTACTTAAACGCGAAATAGAGCCACAGAAGTAATAAAACGCAATACTTTGCCCCGGCAAATTGGTTTGCCAATCCGATTACGACAGATACAAGGATAATAATTGAATCACTTGTCTATCACCGGACAGTATTACTCGGAACGTCGAACCTTTATTGAAAAAGGAGTAAGAAGAATTCGATTATTTAAATCGAAAATGTTTCCAGCCGCAATACGCAATTCAATTTTAATGAAATTGGAAAACTCCTCTTTGTGTAGGTATGTTTTAACAGACTGTGTGAGTTATTTCATAAGCGCTCACCTCCATGTTTCCGTCGCTTCTTTCCTGTGGTTTCGTCACTACTCGACTCTGTGAGATCATCTGTTCTTCCGTTTAGATTATTGTGCTTCAGCTCCATGTCCACTTCCACTTCAACGTCTTCTTCTTCGTCTTGCCAGGGTGCCGTCATTTCCAATGAGCGCATTATCTTACGTCAATTCTGAAATCAAATATACTCTTTTATCTACAATGTTAAATAAAGTTTCCACTTGATTTTTTTCCTGAATCATTAATTTTATATTGATTTATTTTCCTGACTGCGTGTAATTGTTATCATTTTTTTTTCTTTCCTGGATTTCAATCAAAATATGAAATAAAAATGTTTATATCGTTTATTTCATATTACGTTTCGACGAGACCACAGCGCCTAATCAGATTTAAAATTCAAAACGAACCCATAATTGGGAAACATTAGATTCTTTATAGTCTTGCTTGCTTCAAAACCTCACGTGTTTTTGTTTTTTTGATTGAATTCAAACAAACGTGAGGTTTTGAAGACAACGAAGACTATAAAGAATCGAATGTTTCCCAATTATGGGTTTATTTTGAATTTTAAATCTGATGATGGCGCTGTTATCTCACCGAAACGTCATATAAAATAAACGATATGGACATTTTTATTTCACATTTTGACTGAAACCCAGCAAAGAAAAAATATGATAGCAATTACTTTTATACTTTACATGCATTAAGTTTTTTTTCTTTCCTACTTCGTTTTTTGATGGTGCATTTAATTCAGGATGATTTTTAGAAAATGTTTTTTTATGAATATAAACAATTACACACAGAACAATTTAAATACTTGAAGCTAAATACATAAGCTAGTAAAGAAAACCTAACAATAAACATCGACCACAACCTTCAAAAAATCTATAAAGTAACCGTAAATAATTTGTTTTTTAATAATAACGTTTTTTTACTAAAGAAAAAGAAATGTACTGAACTGGAGTGAATCGTTTTACCTTTGTGCAAATATTCAATATGTTTTAATTATGTAATTCTTTATCAATGATATTCAGAATATACAAAAAACTCTGATTTAATAACCCTTTGGAGATACCTCAAACAAATCATTGGATTAGTTAAAGATCTGTTATTGACCAGTGAAGAGTTATGGTAATGACTCAAATAATGACATAATTAATTTGCGTTGGTAATTTGGTCGTTAGCATAAAGTATATGTGTAAATTGCCACCATGACTAAAATAATGTAAAAAATATTTAGGGGGCTTATAAAATACTTCGTCAGTGTCGCATGGAAGAACAGGAATTTATTAAAAATAACATTCTTTCAGTTCCACTGAGATGAGATTCATGAGATTTTAAGCAATGTTCGGTTGTTTTATATTATAACGTTTTGAAATTAATGCGCTTTTTATGTATTTCTAAATTAAATAAGTCAAAGCTACACGGTTACAATTTGGAGAGAGAAATGTTTGTTTGGCTTACTTCGTACCGAATAATATTTCTAGGTGATTGTAAAAGTTACTTATTATTCACAAACGGCGATTTTTTGTATTTTTTTAGAGAACGAATACTTGGAAGTAACTGTGGTCATATCATGTAATATCATCTAAAATTGCATGTTTAGGACGAGCTTAATTAATCGACCTGGTATGAGTTTTATAGTTAAAGCTTTAAAAATGTTTCGAGCATTATGCTGTCGAGAAAGTTTTTTATTACATTATTGTGGATAATAACACATGATGTAAAATTTGCGCCCAACTGGAAAAAAAATATGGGAAGAAATACTATTGAAACAGCCACATGAAACGTTAGATTACTGACAATTCGAAAAACTGATCTATGTAATCAACGAAATGCAGGAACTCACAAATGGAATAAATATACGAAGAATTGGTGAAATTGAGAAAAATTGGGTATATTGAAATAGCCCAACTATTAAAAGAAACAATAAAAGGAAAAAAATATAAAATATTTCTACTGATTTATATTCAATAAAACATAGAAAGCAACTGGGAACCCCGAATTAAAAGCCACGCTTACAAAAGTAGTAAAGGCTAAAGAGGAATAGTTAAATGTCGAAAGATAGAAGAACTCGAAGACATGAAACCGCTGCAACGACCTCTTCGTTAAAAAATGCTTGGGTCAACAAAAAAAAGATGTTTATACCATACTTTAACGACCATGAGGAGCCATTTCACATGTCCAAGACGCGAAAAATGCAGCGTTTTTAATCTCGGCTATGCAAATGATACTGTTTTGCTGCCAGATAATGCTGAATACTTGTGGTGTATGAGAATCTTTCAAAATATCGATATATAAATAGAAACCGAATGAAAGCTACAACATCGCTACAAACCTCCAGGTTAAGTAACTGATGAATAGAACCGTGATTTAGAGATTAAGATCAGGTTCAAGATGGCAAAATCAAAATTTATAAAAATAACAAAGCTCTTGAGTAATCGCAAGTTAAACACTGGTGCCCCATGTTGAGATACAATGAGAAATCATCGAAATGCAACGTTATAGGGATATGCCTTGTCCTAATTAAAAATGACGAAAATTTAGTTGAGAAAAATTCATAAAGATCTAGCATTACCAACTGTTAAGGAAACATAAACATGCTACGTGGTACATGGATTTGGTAATCATAAATAGGGTCTATTACAACTAATTATGGAGGAAAATATCGCAAGTACGGGATTGGGCAGAATTATCGCCCATGAAAAACTTGGGTGAATTATTCTAAATATCACAAGTTTCAACCATGATTCATGTGGCATAGAACGAAATAACCTCCCACATGAAACAAGGGAAGCATTGCTTTTCCTAGAAAAATCATTATATTATATAATATTATTCATTTCGTAATAAATTGTCATATCCTAGCCAAAAAGGTCGACGTTCCATAACAAAATAGGCAATACGGCTCCAATCTTTCCAAGGGTCGTAAGCAGTGTGCGAAGTTAAATACAAGAAGGAAGTAACAATGGCTCTAGTTTTGTCATACCGGTCATAAGCCAGACCTACAGCCTGCAGCGGTCTGTAGGCGCATTACTAGTCTTGATCATATCATATAAGTCTTGTTCTATGGTCTTGATCCATCGCAGTCCGAGCTTCGAAATGCAAAACTTCGAATTGCTTTTCGGTTTACACATGATATTTTCAGGGTGAAATGAAAAATCTACAGGTCAAGTTGCCAGTCCTTAACGGCTGAATAAGCAATTGGGTGGATTAAATACTCAATCATCTGACCACTATCCTGGCAGTTTGTTGGAAGCCGAAGATTTTTTTTAAATTTGAATAAATATAAGGCGTCTTCTTCGACTGATTGTTAGACAATTGATGAGTTAAGTGTTGCAGTTTTATAAATGTGTGGTGTGTTTCTTGTTGGGAAAAAGGTTCAGTTCTCAGAGCTTTATTGAAGAATCGAACATAATAAGCCTGAGATGAAAAACTTGACTACTAAAATAAATACTTGTATGATTTCAATTCGGAAAAATCTTGTGTATGTATGAGAGGCTTACAGTTTGTGAGATCAGGACTAAACTGTTTTGTTGACCTTGTTTGCTTTTCGTCAATAAAAATGTGTTTGGAATCAACGCGGTTTTGGCGATTTAGATAATTTGCATAAGGTGGTAAAACGACATGTTATGTCTAAAGCTCACTTGCAGGCCGTTACCAATGATAACGTTTTCAGGAAAACACGAATTGATCACTCTTTGCGTAAATCATTACAAGTGAGCCATCAACAACATAATGAATTAGTTGTTGAAAATCGACACGTGCTGAAAACGCTTATTGACGTTATGTGCTTTCTTAGCCTACATGAACTTGGATTTAAAGAATAAAGGAAATTATATAGATTGTGTGATCTAGTATCGAAATCTGACCCTTGTTTGAAATCACATTTGGTACATTGTAGTGTGTTGCAAGGTACTTAGCTACATCAAATCGAATTCAAAATGACTTAATTTCTGCTATTTCGACTGTTGCATCAAAGAAAATAAAGGAGGAAATCATACAGACACGATTTCTTGCAATAACTTTAGATGAAACTACTGATGTTACAAATTTTAGTCAGTTCTCTGCTACTATATTGGGTTCTGTGTAAAAAAGTTATCGAGTTTAAAAATTCTAATAAGAAAAGAAATGACTTTAAAAAATGCTGGAATAGTATGATAGATAGACGTTTTGAGCCAAACGAAAAACGCATACGCATTGATAATGTTGGAGATATTGTAACTTGTTTTAATGTACCCAGAAATAGGGAACAGGTTCAAGAATTTTGAAGATGTAAACTTTTTTATGTGTAATTTTAATACGTCCAGAAAACAGATTTTCCGGAAAAGCAATTACAATATTTGATTCGTAATTATGGACAATATTTTGATATGATTTTGTTCCGTTTGGAATTAACTGCTTTGTATGAGATTCAAGATATTGAGAGAAAAAATAATGCCAGTAAGTTATTAACATCTTGTTAGGAAAATGTCGCAGCATCGCCGTTTCTACAACGACATTATAGACAAGTTTGCGAAAAATGATAGAATAACTCAATGCATTATAAATAGGTGAGTTTTTTATGAATTGCTTCCCTTTCAAAATTCACCGCACGCCCCTGCTGATGGTGGCTTGAAGAAAGCGAATACCAGGATAAATGGAGAATTTAATTTCAAATCTCTTTAAGTACCTGATGCGCAGGAAATTGTCACTTGAAATACTCACATAAATATAGAGAACTTGCCAATATTAATCAAAACTATTAGTAATTTTCATTAAGATCATTCTTCACCGTATAATATCTAATATCTGTCGCATTGGCTATGGTTAATTTACCATTACTTATATTTACACCGTATCCATATGGGTAGTATCAATTTTCTACACCACAACCACAAAGAGACATTGTTGCAAAATACAACCGGATCTAAGTAACACATATCTTGTCTTTCATTAGGCGGAACGTAATCTATTCATTAAATCCGACCTGAGGTAATTTTTCGCATTTAAACTCAGGCCATTACTTTCCAAGTGAAAGATATTCTGTAACAGTCGTGCGACACTAGAAATAAAATACATAATCACTTTCACAAAAACGTTGCAGTCGCGATGGAATAGATCCTGCTTGATCACGGTCGTTGATTTGAATTTATTGCCTTGAGGTTTGTTACTTTATACCGTGCAATCTTTAAT